TCCTTCACTAGACTGCAAAATTGCTTCACACAGGAGGTCACCATCATTAGCAAAGTGAAATGACTTTGCCAGGGTCACCCTTTCAAAGGGGCAGAGGAGGAGAGGGAACCCAGTTCTCGTGAAGTCTTGGGGTGTGGGGACATTTCTACATCCTCTGAGTTGGACTGTGACCCTCCCTGACTGCCCTTTGCTATCATAACATCAATGTTATGGGAGTGAACAACTGATAAACAAGATCACCAGAAACCTCAGAGGGTCAAAGCAACACATGTATAATGAGAAGGATCATGGAGCTTCACCTATTTTAATCTGTTGTCTGTAAACAAATAATAATTAAAAAAAACCAAAACACTAAGATGTTAAAATAATTAAATTTTAAATAAAATTTTTAAACCCACCAACCTTCCTGTCTCACCAGTGCCAAAATATCCCTGGATCTGACAGATCTGCTGGAGGAATAAAGCTGTTTAATGGTTTAATGATTGCATCTGCTGCAAAGCAGTGTCAGTGCTCCATGCAGGGAGACTTTCAATCACCATGAATCAGGGAAAGGAGAGATGTCTTTAGATCCTGGAGTCAGTATCACCTTGGGATGGGGCAAGAGAGTTGGGACAGAGGTGCTGGCATCTCACAGGCCTGGCTGAAACCTGGTCAAGCAGTGTCTAGAGATGGAGAAATGGGACCTGAAGGTTTTCAGGGATCAAGCACCTTTCACTGAAGCAGAGGGAAGGGGGTGGCCAGTTACCCATGACAGAGACACTCTGCATGACACCCCAGACCAAGTTGTCACTGGTGCATGATACCCACAAACCTGACCTCCCCCTGCCAGTACTCAGAGGAAGAGGGAAAATAGAGGAACACCACAGTGGTATGAATACATGTTGGCCACAATTCATGCCATCATGCAGATGTCAAAATGAGTCTCCAAGCACAGTCACTCCTGACGTTCAGAGCCGTGTAAGAGAAAAGCCAAGTCCATGAATTAGTGCATCACTAAATACCCCTCTGCCCATACCAGCCTTCATTCCCAGGCAACACTTTCTCCTCCTGAACTACCCTCTGGGATGTTCCCTCTCCCTTCCTCTAGTCCTTGACATTTATATATGGATGTACAGGCTTCCCAGCTGTCCATCTCAGGTCTTCCTCAAGGTCTGCTGCTTTCTCATGCCCTCTGATAGAGGATCTTCCATTTTTGAAAGGCTTCTCAAGCATTGGTAATTCACTTGGGCAAAACTGTCAGACAGAGAGAAATAAGCACAGAAACTCTAGAAGTGGGGCTCCAGGAAACAGGGGTTTATAGGGCTGGCCCAGCTTTTGTCCTTGAGAGATCTTCACCATGCAGGATTGACCCACTCAGCCCCAGATGACGAAGACAGTCATAAGAACAATGCCTATGGAAAATGTCATCCTGGGGTGACAGAGATTACAAGGGACTGAAACTTTCCCAGGCCTTCAGAAGAGCCTGCCTGGTGACATTAGGGAGAACAGCCTCAAGAAGTCACATCTGCATTAGCACATGACTCTGCAGTCATAGCTGGGTCATGCCCAAGGAGTTTTTGTAGTCATAATCTGACCTCTTTGCCATGGAAGATGCTTGCGGCTGAGGAGCAGGAGGGAAGACCATGAGCCCCACACACGCCCATGGGAAAGGCACCAGGACATGGCAAAAATGCCTGTGCCACAGAGGATCTCCTTGGCCAAGTCAACCCACGACATGGTCAGAGATGGACTGAGGGCAAAAGGAACCTCTGGAGGTTGCTTTGCTCAGCCTCCTTTCCAACACACACATCCCTGAATAACAGCAAGTCCTTACACCCAAGGATGTGGATCCAGAGTCCAGTGACCTGCTTGGCTGTGTGCAACATGTGCTGTGTGTACATGCACATTGCTGGAGCAATTTTACACAACTCCAGGTAACATCTACTCCTCTCTTCCTTTACTCCCAATAGCATTAACCAGTATGGCCTCTCTCTCCCACTGCAGCTTAGGGGCCGATGTTTTAAGATTCTATCTTAAGATTCCTTAAGATTTTTTAGATTTAAGATTCTCTAAGATTCTTAAAGATTCTATCTTCTACCCCCTTCCCACTTCCATGAGCACTCCAGTGCCATACCCACTCATGAAGCACCAACCCAGACCTGTGTGATCTTTCAGTAACTTCACTGGAGGCTCAGACACACTATTTGGGTTGAGACTGGAGGACAAAGAATTAGAAAGGAGACACAAGTGAGCAGGTCTGTGTCTAGTGATCCTGTCCTTATGGCTCTGGTGAAAGCACCCAGGAGGCTTTTGCCAAATTGCACACCAAATTTCATACACTGAGGACAACCTGGCTTTCTAATTTCCAGGACTAAAGATACAAACTCCCCGGCCAGCCTGTTCAGGAAGCAGCTCAGACACCCAGCAGAAATCAGGTCAAGCTGCTTCTCAAGTGGCATCAGAACCTCAGGCAAAGCCAAGCTGATGTCATTTCTTATCCCCAAATCCTGTGTGCTGTGTGTCTGTGCACAATGAGCTGTGTTTTCCTTAGGGGTGCTCTCTAAGCCAAATCTATTTCAGGATTCTCCCCAAGACATTTCAGTGCCATCATGCAGATGTCAAAATGAGTCTCCAAGCACAGTCACTCCTGACGTTCAGAGCCGTGTAAGAGAAAAGCCAAGTCCATGAATTAGTGCATCACTAAATACCCCTCTGCCCATACCAGCCTTCATTCCCAGGCAACACTTTCTCCTCCTGAACTACCCTCTGGGATGTTCCCTCTCCCTTCCTCTAGTCCTTGACATTTATATATGGATGTACAGGCTTCCCAGCTGTCCATCTCAGGTCTTCCTCAAGGTCTGCTGCTTTCTCATGCCCTCTGATAGAGGATCTTCCATTTTTGAAAGGCTTCTCAAGCATTGGTAATTCACTTGGGCAAAACTGTCAGACAGAGAGAAATAAGCACAGAAACTCTAGAAGTGGGGCTCCAGGAAACAGGGGTTTATAGGGCTGGCCCAGCTTTTGTCCTTGAGAGATCTTCACCATGCAGGATTGACCCACTCAGCCCCAGATGACGAAGACAGTCATAAGAACAATGCCTATGGAAAATGTCATCCTGGGGTGACAGAGATTACAAGGGACTGAAACTTTCCCAGGCCTTCAGAAGAGCCTGCCTGGTGACATTAGGGAGAACAGCCTCAAGAAGTCACATCTGCATTAGCACATGACTCTGCAGTCATAGCTGGGTCATGCCCAAGGAGTTTTTGTAGTCATAATCTGACCTCTTTGCCATGGAAGATGCTTGTGGCTGAGGAGCAGGAGGGAAGACCATGAGCCCCACACACGCCCATGGG